AAATTGTTTTCATGATGTTAATTTTTGAGTTAAAAGATTTATAAAGGGCATAACTCAATATTGTAAATCAAGAATAACACATTACAACTCAAACTCTACAATTTTAGCTTCATTCATCAATAATTCAAAATTGATCTATACATCAATAATTTAAAATTAGTAAATCAAAGATACCACATGCTACCAATGTGGTAATCTAGTAGCGTAGTGTGCGTGTGAGCGATTTTGGCCATCTTTCGTGGTCGGGGTAAACATAACGTATTTGAAAAATCAAAAGTTAAACAGTTCTAGAATTCAAAATAGCCAACTTTCTTATAAGCTTTGCATTCGATAGTAAGTGTATAACCTTTTGACGCATTGCTTATGGCGGCAAGGAAGGCTATGGTAGGCAGAAGTTAGTAACCTAAACCTACAAGGTCAACCAAAAAAGTAAGTCCAATTTTAGGATTGGAAATACAATTCAAGAAGCCAAGCCTGTGTACGTCATGAATATGCTTTCATGCTATTGCTACCAATACGTCTGGAGGTTATTTGACCAAGTACTAAATAAAAGGAAGTTGCCTAAAAAAAAAAAAAAAAAGGAAGTTGCCTAATTAAACTTTTGATTTGTTTCTTCTTTAATCGGATGGACCAGTGCCATCACTTTTATGTTTTGACTGTTAAACAGTATCTGAAATGTGACACACGAATGAATTATGAGTTTGCAATTCCAAAATGAAAATGAGTTGTTACCAGTTTGATATTTTCCTCAATTATGTTCTTGATCATTGACCGATTCTAACGTCGAACTTTAGTAACGGGCTGAAGTCTCTCTTTCATGACTCAGAGTCAATCCACAACTCATTTCATTTTCCGAATTACTCCATGCCATGTTATTTATCATGCATGTCGTTGTATTTATCGAGAAATTATGTTCGTGAACGTGTTTTTTGTTCCATTAAATATGAATACAAAAGTTTACATCAATTAACATGAGAAAAAAATAGCATAGTGGGTCCGATTATTACATGCGAGAAAGAACAATAGCACCGTAATAATTGATAGAAACCAAAACTTAATTATCAAAAGAAAAATAATTGGGTCTAACGAGGAAGAAAACAAAAAAATTACTTTAATAATTGAAAAGAAAATATATTGAGATTTTTTTTCTTCTTTTAAGGTTTAAGGTTAAAGGTTAATAATGTTTTTTTATTTTATTTTAAAGAAGGGTAATTATATTTCTCTAGACCACACCACCCTTTACAAAGAAAAAAAATAAGTTTTGATCAACTTTTCTACAGTCGTACTGTGTACAAATTAGGGGAAACAAAATATAGTTTTGAGTTTGGTAAAGAAGGTTCCACTGTTACCAACTAACTAATCAAGAAAAACAGAAAAACGAAGTTTAAAATTTTGTGTAATCTTCTTTCCCAAAAAAAGAAAAAAAAAAGAAGAAAAAAAAAAACAGCTTACATATGCTCACAACTAAAGTCCCAAAATAGGATACGAATGATCAAGAATTAGGTGAGAAAATGTAAATAGTTAATCTAACAAGTATACATTTGCTTGCGATACAAATAATCACACTATTTCGATACCAACATATCCAAAGAATCGATTATAAAACTTAAAAACCCAATAATTGACCAAAAACACTATTTGGAAACGCAAAAATGTTGTCATCTCAAATCCTCTTATTATTCCTACACGCTCCGGTTAGATCAACACCTTTCACCTAATTCTCAATTCAACATAACACCTTAATCGCCACGTCACACGTGTCCACACATGTCACATACACACTCGACACTTGAACGTAATTTATTAGTATTATAGAGCACCTTGGGGAATTCTAACATTACCTTCCCTGTTCTAAATTTAATCTGAGTAAAATTAAAATACGAGAAATCCAAAACGCATTTCCATCCAAAACGCTAAAAATATTATTGTCAACAACACTGACCTAACAGATTTCTCATGATGCAACTCATTCAATACATCGACCCTTTGTGTTCACACACTTACTACACGTTACTTCATATACATATATATATACAAGGATTAAGGGTTATACACTTTCAAAACATATATATAATAAAAACATATACACAACTTTGATCATGCGAAGACTCTTTTAATTTCCAAGTGTAAAAAGCACATCATTTTTTCTCACTTTACGCTCTCTTTCTCTCTAAAATGATGTCTCGCGTTTTAGCTGAAGATGATCATCCTTCGCCGTTTCATTCCATGGAGATCATTAGCTCATCTTTGACTTTGGGTCAACTTCTCAAGAACGTCAGCGACGTTCGAAAGGTACCACTCGGCGACGATACTTCTGTTCACGAGTTCTTTTACCGAGACGATGATGATGGTGATCATCTAATGCGTCCTGTTCCCTTCGTTCTATCTTTCAACAACCTCACTTACAACGTCTCCGTTCGCCGGAAACTTGAGTTTCGAGACCTCGTTCCGTGGAGCAGCTCATCTTCCTCCAAGACCAAGACTCTTCTTGACGACATCTCCGGCGAGACTCGTGACGGAGAGATTCTTGCCGTTCTTGGAGCCAGCGGGTCAGGTAAATCCACTCTGATCGACGCTTTAGCGAATCGGATCGCTAAAGGAAGCTTGAAAGGCACGGTAACGCTTAACGGAGAAGCTCTTCAATCTCGGATGCTCAAGGTTATCTCCGCTTACGTAATGCAAGACGATCTTCTCTTCCCGATGCTTACTGTAGAAGAAACACTGATGTTCGCAGCTGAGTTTCGATTACCAAGAACCTTACCTAAATCCAAGAAGAAGCTTCGAGTTCAAGCCCTAATCGACCAGCTAGGGATAAGAAACGCTGCGAAAACAATCATCGGAGACGAAGGACACCGTGGCATCTCCGGTGGAGAAAGACGTCGAGTTTCCATCGGAATCGACATCATCCACGATCCGATTGTTCTCTTCCTCGACGAACCTACTTCAGGTTTAGATTCCACAAGTGCGTTCATGGTGGTCAAAGTGTTGAAGAGAATCGCAGAGAGTGGCAGTATCGTAATAATGTCGATTCATCAGCCCAGTCACAGAGTTCTCAGTTTGCTCGATCGTCTTATCTTCTTGTCACGTGGCCACACCGTCTTCAGTGGTTCTCCGGCGAGTTTGCCGAGTTTTTTCGCCGGGTTTGGTAATCCGATACCGGAAAACGAGAATCAAACAGAGTTCACGCTCGATCTAATCAGAGAACTCGAAGGATCAGCTGGAGGAACACGAGGATTAGTTGAATTCAACAAGCAATGGCAAGAGATGAAGAAACAGAGCAATCTTCAGACCCTAACTCCGCCGGCTTCTCCAAACCCAAATTTAACTCTAAAAGAAGCCATCTCCGCCAGCATTAGCAGAGGGAAACTAGTCTCCGGCGGAGGCGCTAGCTCCTCCGCCATAACCCACGGTGGCGGAACCCTAGCCGTCCCTGCATTCGCGAATCCGTTCTGGATTGAGATCAAAACTCTCACCAAACGCTCAATCCTCAACTCCAGAAGACAACCGGAGCTGCTAGGAATGCGATTAGCCACCGTGGTCGTCACCGGATTCATCCTAGCCACCGTATTCTGGGGACTAGACAATTCACCAAAAGGAGTACAAGAGCGGCTAGGGTTCTTCGCATTCGCAATGTCGACAATGTTCTACACTTGCGCCGATGCTCTTCCCGTATTTCTCCAGGAACGTTACATCTTCATGAGAGAAACAGCTTACAACGCTTACCGGAGATCCTCCTACGTTCTCTCTCACGCCATTGTTACCTTCCCTTCGCTCATCTTCCTCTCGTTAGCTTTCGCAGTGACGACGTTTTGGGCTGTTGGGCTTGAAGGAGGTCTAATGGGCTTTCTATTCTATTGCCTAATCATCTTGGCCTCTTTCTGGTCCGGGAGCTCCTTCGTGACTTTCTTATCCGGCGTCGTTCCGCATGTGATGTTAGGCTACACGATCGTTGTTGCCATTTTAGCTTACTTCTTGCTGTTCAGTGGCTTCTTCATCACCAGAGATCGAATCCCTCAGTATTGGATCTGGTTCCATTATCTTTCTCTGGTTAAGTATCCGTATGAAGCAGTGCTTCAGAATGAGTTCTCGGATCCTACAGAGTGTTTTGTGAGAGGTGTTCAGATCTTCGACAACACGCCTTTGGGAGAATTGGCGTATGGGATGAAGCTGAGGCTTTTGGATTCTGTGAGCCAATCGATCGGAATGAGCATATCGAGCTCAACGTGTTTAACAACGGGTGCTGATATTCTGAAGAAGCAAGGAGTGACGCAGCTTAGTAAATGGCATTGCTTGCTTATCACGGTAGGTTTCGGATTCCTTTTTAGGATTTTGTTTTACTTGTGTTTGTTGCTTGGAAGCAAGAACAAGAGAAGGTGAGAGTGAAACGGCTGATGCTAGTGATACTTAGAACCAAAAACATATATTGTATTCTTTTCTTTTTCATTACTGTGAATCTGTGATTCGTTGATTGATTTGTGTATTTTGAATTGTAATATGATCTTAACACTTGTATTACTTTTGCCATCAATAATAAACAACACTCTCTTTAGGATTTGGAATTACAGAAAGCACCTATGAATCGCTATACTCAGAAGATTAGTGCAATATATCAAATAGACGACGCATTGAGATTGTGGAAGCTAATGATGCTGAGTGACTTTGTCTCCACAAGTGTATCTGAAGAAAACAAGTCCAGAAACTGTATTTAACATTTCAGCAAACTAGCTATAAGTTTTGCTCTCCAACTACTAACCTTTATCTAATCGACATTTTTGGCTAACACTTGCCGTTTCTTGAGCTTAGAACCTAGAGAGGCATAGCTAATGACATGAAATTTCATAATGGGGAGACACACTTAGCTAGAGCATAGAGGCAAGTAACTCTCAAACCCATTTCAAATAAAGTAAGCCGGTTTAGTTCAATCTGAAATAACCGAATAAAATATTAGACCGAAACAAACCGGACCGAAGATTTTAAGAATATCCACTGGCTCTCTCTCCTGACCGCTCTGGCTGCAGTCCGAGTCATAAATACGAGCGGTGGTTACTCACGCGCCAGCCAATACGGCCGGAGATGCTACTGTGCATTCCGACGGTGAAGCTGTTCCGGGTTCAGCAACGCCATAATTTTAGCTCTTTAGCAAAGCGTTTCAGTCTCACCGGGAAATTACCTTTAGATCCCCAAACTCAGGTTTGATTTCTGAAAAATCGAGACTTTTGTGAAATGTGAATGACTAAAGTTATTATCTCAAGTTGAAAAGAAGGTGCACAGCTTGATTATCTCAAGTTAAAAAGATTTATATGTTTCCCCTTAAAGGTTTTATAACACCTGAGTGTAGTTCAAATGTGTTTCAAGAATTTTTTCTGAGTTATGTTTCTCTATTGGTAGCAATTGATACCAAAGATGAAAGCTTTCTGTTCTTTTAGCTTCTTATATCTATGCTAAACCAAACGGACTGTTGAGATCTTGATTTTGTAAGCTGATTGATGTAAGAAGATGTTGTGTAGAACTCTTTTGCTCTCTCTCACAACAGAGGATTTACCATTTTATCCATTTCATATTTAGGCCTCTTTGGACAAGGACTTCTTACCTTGGTTAGAACGAATTGCTGGATCGAAGATAACTGACACGCTTACGATTGGGAAATCCACCTATGGCAGGTGGGTTGGTTGGTGATGTTTTGAATAAGAGGCATATGTTTTTTTTAAGTCCATTTTTGAGTAATTGTTTTTCTGTTCAGATGAAATTATCATGGATTGTTAGAACCATTTGCTCCGTTCAATAAATCTATTTATAGTTCCCTTGCAGTCCGGTCTGCTCTTCGAGGTCTAGTCTGCAGGAGCTTATTTTGTATGACTTGTCTAATGTGTATATGTTCTCTTTAACATGGATCTGTATTGTCATCAACAGTTGAAACATTATAAAGTTTTGAATTATGTCATGTTGTCTTATTATATTCCATCCATGTGCAAGAAGTTAATATATCGAATGATTGTAAGAATAACCAAGAATAACCAATTTCATTTCCTACCAGAGGCTATCTCCTGGTGTGATGCTTTGTCTTTACTGTCAAATATACTAACCATGTTTACGATATCAACTTCTGAACAGGTCACTGTTTGCCTCAAAAGTTATCCATGCCGGGGACTGCATTTTGAAAGTCCCTTTTAATGCGGTATATTACTATCTACTGAGCGATTTTTCCCTTATTATGTGTCTTACGAAATATTGATTGAAGATTCTATACAGGCTATTTAGTGTTGCTCTAACAGAAATTTTCAGCAAATTACTCCAGATGAGCTTCCCCCAGATATTAGAGTTTCATTGGCTGACGAAGTTGGGAATGTTGGAAAGCTTGCTGCTGTTCTAATAAGCGAGAAGAAAATGGGTCAAGTAAGCTAGCATCAAAAATTTTGGGTAATTAACTAGAAATAAGTCTCCCATTTCATGTGAGTGTTTTAGTTTTGACTTGAGTCTTTGTTTCTGAATTAGAAGTCTCGATGGGTCCCTTATATTAGCCGACTTCCTCAGCCTGCAGAGATGCACAGTACGGTGAGATTTCACTCTAGCCCTCATAGCTGTCATTTGTTCGAGCCTTGAAATTTTGTGTTGTTCACTTCTTGAATGTCAATGTGTGTTTTTCGGCAAAAGAGATATATATATATATATATATATATATATATATATATATATATATATATATATATATGTTGAAATAGTTATAGTTTAAGATGCAATCCAAATAACCTGGAACGCCAAGTTTCTTAATATAATCCTTACTGTCAATTTCGTTGCCATGCTACAATGCAGAATAATTAAGATAGTGGTTTCCTTGTTCTCTTAGATATTTTGGGGTGAAGATGAGTTCAGCATGATTCGTTGTAGTGCAGTTCACAAGGAAACACTAAAACAAAAAGTCCAGATTGAAAAGGAATTCTCATTTGTAGCACAGGTAAGTATTGTTTTGTTAATGATCCAGATAAGTGTTAGGTTCTAATGCAAATTCTGATATTTCCTTGCATTTTTCAGCCTTTTGAACATTTTCTTAGATAAAGGAGAGGATTTGCTTTTTTACATTACTCTGCTTTCTTAGACAAGAGAGGGTCTGGTACTTTATTTTGTCCCACGATTTGTAAATATCTTCACTTGGTATCAGACCATTAGATTGAGCAACCAAGTTGGGGTTTATCAAGGTGCTATATTACCTGAGTATATATACCGCTGACAAATTATTTACGGTAAAAGCAAATATTAGACTAATGTGAATTGATTTTTGCTTAACTTCTTCAAGTTTAGCTCTATTTCATTACGAGTCTTAGCATAATAGCAAGGCTACTTTGATTGTGTCCTATGTCAAGCTAACCAAGTAGGTAGCATACATATGTGTATATTTGGTTAATGTATTTCTATGTGTCGTTTTTTTTTTTCCATCTTAGTGAATAAGAGTATATAAAATACCTTTTTGGTGATTCTTAGGCATATAAACAACATTGTCCCATGGTGACTGAACCTCCAGATTTGGAAGATTTCATGTACGCATATGCTTTAGGTGAGAAAGTTACTACACAAATATTCCATTTGGCTCTATATCTGTTTTTTTGTGTTTTCTCAACCATGTACACTCCCTCACAAGGGAGGTTTTAAATTATTGTGTTGTTCTTACTCTATCCGGATAACTTGTTGCTGGCCAGTGGGATCTCGTGCATGGGAAACCTCAAAAGGCATATCTCTGGTATTGGTTTCAATATTGTTCTGCATTTTTCCAGTTTACTTATTGTGATTTCTGGTACAATATATGATCTGATCTTCTGTCAATATAACAGATTCCGTTTGCGGACTTCATGAACCATGATCGGCTTTCTGCATCAATTTTTATTAGCGATGAAGAAAAGCAACTATCAGAGGTTTATTTCCATTCCTGTTAGTTGATATTATGCATTCTCTTCGTGTAGTGTTTGCACACATCTACTTGGTATTCTATCTCACCTCCATATCTCATATTCGATACATCAAATAGAGTGAATCAACTTCAGTTATTTGGTACATCGATATAGTAAGATGCATGGTTATTACTTCCATGTTACTTTCTCTAGATTCTAAAGGCTTCGCAACACAAACTGAAACAAGCCAGTACATTAATTTCAAGTTTTCATTTTTGCAGGTCACTGCAGATCGTAACTACAGTCCAGGTGATGAGGTAAACATTATAGCACTATTAGATTCAGTTCTGATAGGATGCATTACTCTTTATTTTAATGGTCGCTAGCTTCTACAAGAATGTTATTTTGGTTGAGGTCAATGCCAGTGACTGGTAAAAACGCATGGACTCTAAAGCTTACCAAACATCTCTATGTAGGTGTTCATTAAGTATGGGGAATTCTCAAATGCTACACTCATGTTAGATTTTGGATTTACCCTTCCTTACAACATTCATGACGAGGTTTGTTTTCTCTAGCATCACCTTAGTCGTAACAACGTTGATTATAGATGTTGAATTGAATACTACTCACCAGCCTTGAACTTGATTATCATTTGATTGACTGAATGTGATGTCGAAACTTCACACTATGTCATTATCTTAAGGTTAGTATCAAACTAATACTGCTGTGGTGATAGGTTCAAATCCAAATGGTTGTGCCGAATGATGATCCTCTTCGCAACATGAAGCTGGGACTTCTCTGGACACATCACACTCGAACTGTCAAAGATATCAATATCTTTCATTCTTCTTGTGATAGTTTCACAATCAAGTACGTGTTAATGTTTAATTTTAGCATGGCACCAAGACAATAGAACTTCTAACTGCTTACACATAGAATATCCGTACACATAGAATGGAAACATGGGATGAGGTTGTAGTAATAAAGCAGTTCAGAGTGATGTGAACAAAGATTCGAAAAATAGCAATGAACCTTTTTTGTAGTTGGTATCGATTAACAGAGCTTTTTACACGTGTATCTAAGTGTAGTTCTGGTGTTCTCTCAGGGAAGTGAAATCTGCTATAGGGAAAGGGAGAGGGATTCCACAATCTCTCCGTGCATTTGCTCGTGTTCTCAGCTGTACCATTCCTCAAGGTGCTCAAATCAAATTAGTCACTCTAGTTTACCATATTTCGAGGCTAGTGCCGAATGTATTAACAATTTAATGATTCTCAGAACTAAATGATTTGTCAAAAGAAGCTGCACAAAATGATGGCCGACTAGCTCGGCTTCCTTTAAAAGACAGGAGCAGAGAGTTGGAGGCACATAAGATCCTCTTGTCTCATATCAACAGATTAATTGAGGATCATAGTGCTTGCATCAAGGTACTATATAACACTTTGCTCAACTAATTGCCACAAAGGGTCTGACAATGCAGATTTTGAACAAGGTTTTTATCCGGTGCCTTTGCAGGACATGGAAGAATCTAAATGTTATTTTGGATCACAAAGACTTGTTGTTAGAAGGCAGATGGCAAGAGACCTCCTATATGGCGAGCTTCGTGTTCTGAGATCTGCAGCTGAATGGCTGAGTCATTATTGCACAGCCTTGTTTACAGAGACCAGTCTCTACAATAGCAATATACCAATGAATTGAGCTATTGGAGAATAAAAAAACTCGTCTTACTCTATTCCTTAATCCGGATTTGTAAATTTTACTACGTTCCATAAACAAAGCCAACAAGCAAAAGAGAAATGATGAACATGTTGGATCAGGATAGTTTCCAAATAGATGAAACCGAACGGAACTAGATTAGACACCCTAAGTGCTCAAGTGAGGATGTGATAGTAGAATCGGTTAACTGTGGTTTGTGAAATAGTAGCTGGACAATAAATTTTACTTACAACTCATATTTTCAACTTTTAGGTTGTTCTTTTTTTCCTTCTCTAAACCAATTTAACCGTTTGATTCACACAGGAGCAACTGGTGGATAAGAAGTAAAATTAGCAGAAAATCAACATGGATACATATCAGAGAAACGCAGCCAAACTTGCTTCCACTGAAACCATGTTGACTAGAAAATTGTCATAAGACTGAAATGAAGAAATAGCTTGATATACAAAGGAAAGAGCTGTTTCTACAATAGTGATGCAAAGTTTTATCTGTAAGTGCATATTCACAAAGCTAGCAACGGAGAAAGTTGGAATTTTCAGTTTCTTTGGTCTTAATACTGACCTCACAGTCATCCATTAAAAAGGCAACCAAAGCGCATCTTGGTTCATGATATATATGCCTTAACTAACTCCGTGTAGTCACAGGCGAACCCCGTCCTTGGACATGTTATTCTACCTCCATTTTTTTCCGCCATTTCCTTGAGAGCCTGCAAGTTCATAATTCATCAAATATATAAATAAAGTAACCCAACTTTTTTCAATTTTGAACTGTTTAGGATAGACTGATTTCACTGATCTATTTCAAAACCAAAGATTCTAAAAAGAGAAAAAGAACAGAAAAGAGGAAGCTGTACAATAATAGAATCAAACCTTGGTACTGTAGACATAGCCGTTGGGCAGCACCTGTGGTGGATTCTCTGTGTCCATTAGCTCTTTCGAAATATAGCAAACAAGCTTTGAATGGTGCTGCTTGGAGAAAGGTAAAGGCAAAGCTAGCTTCCGGAAGTTCTCTTGTGAGAGCGGGTCCTCTTTGGTACAACCTTCTTCAAAACCATATCTGAGCGATAGTTAAGTACAAACACAAACCACATTAAGAATCACATCATGGTGTCATTTTATAAAATAACTTTCTCCCCCTTTATTCCCAGATACAGAAAATAGACAATTAAAAACATCAAATTTGATAGAGTTTGATGGATACGGGGTTTTCAGTGCAGACAAGCCTGCTTGTAAGTAGATGTTCAATAAGGGTTCCATTGTCATGCCATATAACTTGCAAAATTCTTGTTTAAACTGATTAACTAAAACATCCCACTGTCGTAGTTCAAACAAAACCTGAGAAAAGAGGAAAGCATATCTGTAAGTTGATTAGCCTAAGCAATACATTCAATTATCAATTAAGATTCGACAAGAGTTGGAAGTAACACACTTCATCCAGCAATAAACAGTGACAGAAAAGACAACAGAAGAACCTGCTATATAAAAAGACAGTGAAATCTATATTCAAGTTTTTGGAACACGGGGTACGAACTGTTATAAATATTTTATAAAAAAAAGCAATCACCTTATATTTGGAGCACTCTGTAGTACTTTTAAAAGCCAAAGTGGCCAGAACATGCTGCAATTCATTCATATGGGTTGCTCCCCATGGTGCCAGATGCTTTCGAGCATAAGAGATTGCTTGTTTGTAGCTTTCAGCTGTATCAACTCGTACCATCTCGATGAATTCTTGCAGCCTTAGTTGGAACTCAAATTTGCTCTGTTATGAAAAGAATATGATATAATTAGCAGTGACGAACACGTCCTCAATATGCCTAAACAAGTTCTCCTCTTTTTCATGGTACAAGGAGAAAAACAAAAAGAAAATCTTCTGAAAAGAGTTCATTGAATATGAGCAATCATGAGATTGCCCCCAGCAAGCATTTGGTTCTGAATAATTAGCTGGTATTATCGTTAATCAGTTTAACAGGTTTTTATGGCTCGTATTCAGGATATGGTTCTCGTAAAAATTGAAAATTAAAAGATAACACTGTGTAGAGTTCATAAACAAAAGAAAGTAAATCTTAGCCATGAGAATATGTAGAGCATGCACAGCACAAACCTTTGACTTTTTCAACCGCGTTTTATTATCAGCACACCATGTCAATGCAGAAGCTACCTCCCTATTTTTAAGGGCATCAATCACCTTCTTAGCTTCTCGAAATATGTCAATGTCGACAAGGTCCTGAAAAGATGAGATGTTTATGTATTGGTGTATTGGCATTCCATAGAGATGCAGTACAAAACAACAAATCCGTTCACTGCTTATAAAAACAAAACACCAAAGAATATGTCCTGATATATTAACCATTGCTGAAGACACAACAATATAGCATGATCATGCTCCAAGGAATTTCAAGTAGTTAATATCTCAAAATAATTTATATAATCAGTGTAAGAGGGTGAGAGAAACCAAAATATTGCTGCTCTCTGAAAGCTTTGTAGCAGTCTCGAAATATGACATCCGAAGCATGTAATCCACAAGAATCCGTTTCAATTTTGTGTTGTTCCATTCAGTGATATTTTCCACATCTACTGAATCCAAATGATCAATGCGAGCACGACATCTCTGGGCTTGCAAATTCTCCACATTGCTCCCTTCTTCCAACTGAAATACAAAACGAAAAAAGTATGAAAGCTATGCCATAACCCAGTAAGAAACCATCCAAAGAATTAAAATTTGGAAGACGATGCAAATGGTCAGATGACTCCACTACATTGCGTCCCTTTGTTCTGATATATATCAAATGTAATTTAAAACAATCATCTAGATCCAATATCTAGTGGTAATCTTCTGTAGTAACTACTTTGCTTTGATCTTCAACCTCAACAAGATCAATATCCAAAGATTAAACGAGATCCAATGTTTACTACAGATAAGTGGAATCATTTCACAAAATTAGAAATTTTGTTTACCCCATCAAAAACTTTAACCGCTAAATTTTCATCACCCAAACCAAAACAGTTTTCCAATTCACAACACCGATCAAAAAGAGAGAGAGACGGAGGGAGAAATCAACCTTTCGTTTGAGGCCTTGTAATCGAGAAACAAGGCTGGTGAGACGCGAAACGGTGGCGTCTTTAGACCAATCGGAATCAGCCAAATCTCCGACGCTGGAGACAACGGTAGAGACCTCTTTCTCGAAAGAACGGTGATTGGCACGGATCGTCTTCTTGTAATGCTCGAAAGGTACACGGAGGAGCTGGTGCTCAAGCTTGAGGGATTCCGTCAATTGACTCGACCTCGACGACGGTACGACCGGTGAAGGAGTGATCGTAGGGGCGGTTTCCGTCATGACGGCGTCAGAGTTTCCGTTGGTTACGGTGTCGATCTCCATGGCACAGAAAATGGGGAGAAAGAAGTTAGCAGAAACTTCGCAAAAGGAGAGTAGTATATTGGATTTTGCCTTGTGGGTGATCTTGATGATGATGAATCGATGATATATAAGAAAGAAAAAGAAAAATGAGTGCCGGCTTTACGGCGTCGTTTGCTTTTTGGTACTCCACAGTTAAAACGGCAACGTTTGGAGTATGAGCAAATTTAGTAAACCGTCTGGTCTGATTCAACCCTAACCGAGTAACTATGAAAATGGCTTGATTGATAATGATATGAAAAAGTTCGAAGACTTTTAAAGTCAGTGGGCTTTGCCATTTGGTATGTCACTCGGACTTTGGCACAAGCGTTTGATCCATAATCAATCTTAGGCACAGCCAGTTAAATTAGAGTAAGGTTTGTATTTTGTCTAAGATACATCATAGCACATAAATGAACTTCCAGTTAATTAATTAAACCCACTAAATTTGTTTATAGTTTTCTTTCTAAAACCACATTGAGAAAGGCCTCAAATTTTTTTTTTTTTTGTTAGTTCTCTAAATTTTAAATCAATCAGGTCCTAGTTCGACCTAATTTTTCAAAGTAAAAATAAAATATAGGTCAAAATACCAAGACAAAACAATGATTTAGCCTATGGATTTCATACTGTCACTTGTAATATATATATATATATATATATATATATATATATTATAATTTTATATATAGAACATTAAATTGTAGAATATATGATGTCCTATTTTTTTATCTTGAAATAATGTATTACTTATTCTGATTGTCGTTTTAATTTATATACATCAAATACGTGTCAAAATTAATATATTGTATTGTTTAATTACTCTATGTATTGTTGTCAAACATAAACAGAAAAATAAAGCATAAACCTAAAATGAGAAATTTGTTTCTTATTTTCTTAATTTATGCTAAATTACATTTAATTAGTAGATTATGTACGTAGTTAGTAATTTATAAATATAATAACACATACCTTCTTGGTCTCAAAGATTATGAACCACAAAAACAAGACAACCATCATCCGTCATCTATCATTCTATCTACAAATCTTATCGTTATCATCTTCAGATTAGATCATAATTACGTTTTATCGTTTTGAAAATCTTTACAGACTTTTATCACCACTCAAATCTATAATTTTTTTGGTGATAGTTGTCTCACCAACTTATCTTAAAACATTCTTGTGAACCAACAAAAAATTCTATTCAAATAAAAGCTATACAACATCCTCTTTCTAGTTTAACAATCTGAAATTCTATTTTATAAGTTTGTTCGACTGTTGTTAGTGAGTGAGTGAGTGAGAGAAAAAAAAAATGTTATGTACAGTAAAACCTCTATAAATTAATACTCGATAAATTAATAATCTCTATAAATTAATAAATTTCTCCAGTCCCAACTTGGGACCAGTGTAATTTTAGACACATTTCGATAAAATAATAAGATAATCAATTTTTGGAAAATCCTTTATAAATATATGGTCCCATCAATATTATAAATTAATAATTAGGTAAAATTTTCAAAATATATGTATATATATACATATTAGTTTTTATTAGATTTTATTTCTAATATTTTACTATATGAAAAATAGTTAGCATTCTCTTTTAATACATAATAATTATTGTTTTATTTGTAATTGATTATATAAAATACTAATTATCATGATTAAATCTATTTTTTTTAAATACTGTTTTGAAAATATTTTCCAAATTAGGAATATCTCTCTATAAATTAATAATTATTAATTTATCGATAAATTAATACCTCTATAAATTAATAGATTTTCATGGTCCCAACATTATTAATTTATAGAGGTTTTACTGTATAACAATATGTAATTAGCCCCGCTCCTCTCTAATGGCTTTATCCGCGCAAAGAAATATTTGAAAAATTACGAAAGGTACCCTCCACTGATACTTTATTTACATTTGACACCACCATAAAGATTTTGGAGCCGTTTTGTTCTTTTGGATTCTTCGTCGTCAACGACACTCTCTCTCTCTCTCTCTCTCTCTCTCTCAACAAACACACTTCTTTGTAGTCTCCGTTTAAGATCAAATCGACGTTATCTAACGCTGTTAATAAATCTGCGTTTCAGTTTCTCTACTCCCTTCGAATTTTCGGATTATCTCAATTTCCGATCTGCAAAATCTCTGTTTTATGGTAAGTTCATAAATCCTAAAGATTCTCTCTTTTGAAATTTTGAATTTTTTTCTTCTGTGATTCTTTCGTTTTCTTTAAAGCTAAATTGTTTCGTCTACCAAAAAGTTGTTGCCTTTTGCATTTTTTTTTCCTTTTTCTTTCAATTTTTTCTGACGAGTAGAGAGTAGAGTTGGGACGAAATCGTATAGATCGTTCAAAGAGAGATCTTTTTTTGTTTTAATAGATTTTGCACTGTTCGAGTAATCTCGCCCAACATTTTATTCATCAGTTTCTCCGCAACTTGGATTCAGGTTCGATTTGTGTTTTGATTCGTCTCTAGGGTTTATCGTAGGCTTTAGAGATGCTTAGGGTAGTTTGGTCTTTTGTTTTCTGAATCTCTGAGCAGAGTAATACTTTGATCATCTATGCTGTTTTTCGTTTCTTTTGTTGAATTGGTTTTATCTTTCATCGACCAAATTGTGTTTGTCAGTTTCACTTGGAACACTCTTTGTTTTTGTAGATTAACATGAAACTCCTGCTGTAAGAGAAAGAATTTGCTGCAAAATGTGAACTTTTTATTCTAGTCTAGTCCAGGAGATCAGTGTTGTTTATATATATATATCTTTCAATCTATTGATTTGCTTTTTTATATGTTTTGATTGCAGCTGCAGTTGTGGTAGGTTCCTCATTTGATTGTAGAAACGATGAAAAAGCTCTTCTTTTTTAGATCTTCGGCTGGTAATGGAACTGATAAACAGGGTCACTGCGAAAAAGCAGCAGATAGTAAGAGGAGAACCCAAGCTACTAGTCATGCTGAACAAGAGTTCCATAGTCCTAAGTCACAGGGTCAAGTTTCTGGTGGTCCAGCTCTTAGACGAAGCCTTTCATTGTCTTCGGCAGGTTTCCTTTTTGATAAGTTTGAAGAAGCTTCCACTAATGAACTAAGCAGTGCTACTAAAAGTCAGGACAGGCGCCGGAATCATTCATCTCGGTATGCTGTTCGCCTTCTTCATTCTTATGAGATTTTTAATTGACAATTCCCTTTTTGTTTTCCGCTATCTTGGCTCCATTATTTTTATCGAACCACTGACTAACAGTATGATGTATACTATGTGCCAGATGCTTTACTCCAGAAAGACAAGTTAGGGAAAGGCAGTATGAAGCAGACAAGCTTCAACATGATTCATCTGGGAGTTCGTCATCTTGCTCTAGTACTGTCTCTAGTAAAGTTCTGGACCGTTATATTGATGGAGAAGAACATTTAGAACAGTGTCAGCAAAAGAGTTGTTCTTCGCGCAGTGATGTCTCTGGGAGTATAAGCCGAAGGAGGCTTCCTCCACGTGTTCAGTGGACAGTTCCTACATCACCATCAGACACTTTCAATGAAAAAAGGAAGTCCCAGTCATCTAGAGAAGCTAAAGGCACCCGATTTCGTGTCTCTTCTGCTGATTGTGTAGAAAATGGGCTGAGGCATGGATCGCCTCGTTCGCTTGCAAGAAATGTCATTGAAAGACTCTCTCAAACTAATGGCAAGTCAAAGGCGTCAAACCATGAACCCATCACAATTCAAGATGTCTATGGTGGATCCCTTCATAGAACGTTTGATTCAAGTTCAGATGTCACCGCCAATGTTTCACTGGCTGAACATTATGAACCTGTTAACGGATACTATGCACAAGACTGCGGAGAGCGCCAGCAAAACTGTATGCGTGGGAAGAACGCGTATAAGTGTATGGAAGACGATATGGACTCCGAGCTAGAAATGAAAATCAGAGAAGCTGATAAGAGAGCGAAATTGTTTTCTGAAGAATTGGAGCAGCAGAGATGCCTTTCCGACTGTGACTTCGATGTTTCATCTTTGGTTGGCATAATTAGAAAACTGGAAGATGAGAGGCTCAACTTGGCATTTGAAAATGTAAATCTTTTGCGTTCCCAAATGGTTGAGAGGGCTTCTGCCAGGGAAGAAATCAGATGGATAAAGTCAGATTGGGACTCCCACATACAGAGACTAGAGAAGGAGAAGAGCGAGTTGCAGGCTGGATTGGAGAAAGAGCTTGATAGAAGGTCAGGTGAGTGGACTTCGAAGCTCGAAAAGTTCCAACTTGAAGAGAAGAAGCTCCGAGAGCGTGTCAGAGAGCTTGCTGAGCACAATGTCTCACTCCAAAGAGAACTATCGGCTTTCCATGAAAATGAGATAGAGAACAAAGACATGATAACACATTTGGAGAGAAGAGTTGCTGAGCTGACCACAACAGCGGATGAATTGCATGAAGAGAACTCTTATGTTAAACAAACTCTCTCCCAGTTACAAGAGAGTTATGCTGGTGCTACAGAAGATCTTGATTTCTTAAGAAGAAACTTTGAAGAGAAGGATCAAGAATGCAGGGAGTTGCACAAGTCAGTTACAAAGTTTCTCAGAACTTGCAAAGAACAAGGGAAGACAATCGAGGGACTTCGAGATGGTGTTTTGGAGGAGGGTAAGAAGCAACCGTCGGAGAAATTGGACCAGTTGGTAAAAAAATTGCAGGTTGAGCAAATAAGGTTGACAGGGATTGAGCTTTCACTTAGAAGGGAAGTCGAATCAATGAAGTTTGAAACTGACTCGCTTCGCCATGAGAATATTTGTCTGCTGAATCGGTTGAAGGGTAATGGTCAAGAAGTAGACATTACAATTCTCAAGCTAGAGAATGAGTTGAAGATGCGTGTCTGCTACTTGCAAGACCAAGGACTGTCAATGTTAAATGAGAGCAGCCAGCTGTGTTACAAGTTACTGAAATTCATCAAAGGGAAATTATCTCAGTTTCCTGAAACCTCCTATCAGGATACGAATTCAGTGAAGGACGGATTAAGTGAGCAGTTTCTGATAGAGTCTGAAATGAAAGTCCATGGAATAAGACGCGGAACTGAAAACCTGAAGAGGAGTTTGCAAACGGTGACCAGTGTGGTAGCTTCGAATTCAGAATCATGTTGCTCAAGTACCGGTAGGCCTAAGGAACAAAGAAACCAATCAGTTGAAGTGAGTTTCCGATGTCCACTTCTTGATTAATCTAATGCATTCTCATTTATGTCCTGCTTTACTTTAGCGTAATATGTGGCTAACGTTTAGCCCAATCTCGTGTAGGACACCCTGCGAGCTGAACTGAAAGCTGAGACCCTAATCACAAGTCTATTGCGGGAGAAACTGTATTCCAAGGAACAAGAAATTGAACAGCTGCAAGCAGAACTAGCAGCAGCAGTACGAGGTAATGAGATTCTGAGATGTGAGGTCCAAAGCAGTTTGGACAACCTATCAGTTACGACGCACGAATTGAAAGACCTCAAACATCAGGTATCGCAAAAGAAGAATAACTCATTCCCATGTCTGTTTATGTGACACTAGATATAAAGAAACTATTCCCAATCATATATGCAACTTTACTCTGATCGTTATGACATCAGGTGTTGAAGAAGGAGGAAAGCATAAACCGGCTCGAAAGCAATCTCCAGGAAGCGGCAAAAGAGATAGCGAGGATGAACGCACTATTACCAAAAGTGTCTGATGAAAGAGACCAGGTATGGAGAGAGTTGAGACAACGGTGTGAGAAGAATATGTTGTTGAACTCAGAGAACGAGAATTTGAAAGGGATGGTAGAGAAATTGGAGGAGAAGGTATTAGAGAAAGAAGGAGAGATCACAATACTACAAGACACTATCGGAAGCAAGCGTCTCAACCTCCTCTCAAGTCCTGATTTCTTGGTCTAAGAGATTTCTTTTCTATTTTTCTTGTTCATATATAATTTTCAGAGTTTTCCAGAATTTGGTTTTTTCTTTTCACACCTTATATCATTGTTTCTTAGATGATGATGGGTCAATTCTTTTGGGGTTTATAGGTATGATTCTATCCTTTTTTTTTAGTTTTCTTTGCTTATCTCAAAGCTGGATTCTCAAGTCTCAGATTTGTACTTTAAAGGGGATTATAAAAACTTAGGGATGAAGTTTATATATGATTAAAGAAAGTTTGTCAAATCTATCCAATAAAATCATGATAAGCCATTTGTTTAAATAAAGTCCTGCAATAAACCTGTAGTCAAAATCTTGGTATTTTTACTTTTTAATTAAATAAAAATTTGCATAAACCTTTCTATTAAAATGACAATTGGTAAAATGTAAGATGATGTTTAAAGAAAGTAAAATTTCTTATATATATAATTAAATGTATATACAATATTTAATTAAAGTAGCAGGGGCATGCAATATAAATGATTTTTATTACTATTTCGAAATTATTAAAATTATGACTACTTTTTCACTATAATTAGTCTTTTTATAAAAACTAATTCTCAACAAGTTTGACGTACCCACAATAATTAGGTCTACTCTAAATATATGTTTTTCTTCCTTTTTTGTTACACTTGTACACAAACATATTGGGATTATATACAGTAAGTAACAAATTTCAGAGAATATTTCCTTAGATAATATTATTCTAATTAAAAAGGTTGGGAAAGAAAAAGAAAGTCAAACCGTTAAAAGTCAAAAAAATAAAAGGCGAAACAGGTAGAAGAAGAAAAAAAAAAGAAACACGATGGCCGCGAGTATCGCTTATTTCTCTCTCTAAAAAAAAACCCAAAATCCAACGTCTCCGTCTCTCTTGTCTTCTTCAAACGCGTCTTCTTCTCTCTCTCTATTTTAACCCTTTCATCGTCTCTTCCCTTTTTTTTTTTTTTTAAGTTTAGTTTCGTATTAGGAATCTTGCTAATCTTCTTTCCCCATCTAATCTCCTCATTGATCTGAAATCGAATGATGGATTTTTATTCTACGCTAATCTTTCTGAGATTATAAGGAACCCTATTTCTTTCATCTATCTCCTTTGATTTCATCAGGTATAAATAATTTTAATGGTTTTTGTTTTATCAGATTTTGATGGGTGTGTCAAAGTTGAAACCTTTCAGATTCCTGTGTTGGAGACTTTTGTAACCCCTTCTTTTGAGATTTTTCTAGATTGCTAAATGTTGTTTGTTTTGTGGGAATGCAGATTAATGTTGTTTACATTTGTGAATGCGTGTTTGAATTCTGAATCCTGGGTTTCTGGAGTTGGAATTGACAAGAAGAAGATTGGGTCTCATAATATAATAGTTATAAGCACTGATTTGATGAACGATTTGATTGCTGGTTCTTTTGGTTGAGACATGTGAATTATGGTATCTACTACATTTAGGAGAATTGTATCGCCTTGTTGGAGACCTTTTGGTATTGGAGAAGATTCTAGTCCTGCTGCTGATGATGCTAATGGCCGTCTCGATGGTCTCTTGTGGTACAAAGATTCTGGGAACCACATCACTGGGGAGTTTTCTATGGCTGTCGTTCAAGCTAACAACATTCTTGAAGATCATAGCCAGTTAGAATCTGGTCCTATTAGTTTGCACGATTCTGGTCCTGAGGCCACTTTTGTTGGTGTTTATGATGGTCATGGAGGTCCCGAGGCTGCTCGCTTTGTTAACCAAAGGCTCTTTCATAACATCAAGAGGTACACTTCAGAGCAGCGTGGCATCTCACCTGATGTAATCACCAGAGGCTTTGTAGCAACAGAGGAAGAGTTTCTTGGTTTAGTGCAGGAGCAATGGAAGAACAAGCCACAGATTGCTTCTGTGGGAGCTTGTTGCTTGGTTGGTATTGTTTGTAATGGTTTGTTGTATGTTGCAAACGCAGGAGATTCTCGGGTTGTGTTAGGGAAAATCGCAAATTCGTTCAAAGAGTTGAAAGCTGTTCAACTATCCACAGAGCATAATGCTAGTATCGAATCCGTGAGAGAGGAGTTACGTTTGTTGCATCCTGATGATCCGAATATCGTGGTCTTGAAACACAAAGTTTGGCGTGTTAAAGGGATTATTCAGGTTTCAAGATCCATTGGTGACGCGTACCTTAAGAGAGCAGAGTTTAATCAAGAGCCGTTGTTGCCAAAATTTAGAGTTCCAGAACGTTTTGAGAAGCCTATCATGAGAGCCGAACCGACGATAACAGTTCATAAGATTCACCCGGAAGATCAGTTTCTTATATTTGCCTCTGATGGTTTGTGGGAGCATCTAAGCAACCAGGAAGCTGTTGATATTGTCAATTCTTGTCCACGCAATGTAAGAAGACATTTTCACAATCACTCTTCTTGAACCCACTTTTCATTGGAGTAGCCACTCTCATATGTTGAACTGTGGTGTGTTTCTTTATTTTTCAGGGTGTGGCTCGGAAGCTAGTGAAAGCTGCATTACAAGAAGCAGCAAAGAAGAGAGAGATGAGATATTCAGATTTGGAGAAGATAGAACGTGGCATCAGGCGACACTTTCACGACGACATTACCGTTATTGTCGTCTTCCTCCACGCTACAAACTTCGCGACTCGAACTCCGATCTCTGTCAAAGGAGGTGGTCTCCTAGCAGCCAATAATGCCTTCTTATAGATCCTTTTTTTTCTTTTATTCTTTCCTTTTTTGAACCAGACTATTTGATTTTGTTTGCTTCTTTCTTAACAAATTGTGTTGAAAACAAATACTTTTTTTACAAATTATTTTCTGAACCAAAAAAAAAACTGTAAATTTTCTCTCTTTACCCCTCAAATCGCATTGTATTTTTCTCAATTTATAATAACCGACTCGAACCGAAAAAATCATCAGTTTGAACCTAAATAAAATCATTTCAAAAATCGACCGAATCAAACCGAAAATTGTGGCAGTGAAAGAAACAAAAGGTTCAGTGGAAACCACATTCCCGGAAAAATCCTTATCGGAGCTGAGAAAGTTTGTGTGAAGCTATGAGTGTCGGAGTTAATGTTAGCGTGTGCTCATATTCATCGCTTGCGCTGTCCACTAAGGACTTCTCCTCTATCTCCTCGTCTTCCCTCTCTCTTGATCGAAATATTCTCCGACCAGTCTCCGGCAGGCTAAGGTGTAAATCCTCTGGGAAACGTAGAATCGAACCAATATTAGCTGTTAAAGAATCGAGGTAGTCAAATATGTTTCGTTCTCTTGAAGGATTACAAAAGATCGTTTGTTTTGAGGGATTACAAAATATCATTTGTATCTGTCTGCTGTTGGTTTTTTTTGTTTGCAGTCGAGTACCGGAGCTTGATTCTTCTTCGGAGCCAGTTCAAGTGTTCGATGGATCAACTAGGTTTGTGTTTATTGATGCTTTTGTTTCTTTTCTGGAGATTCTATTACTAGTTGATGAACTGATTTTGGTTTTTGTGATTTGAAGGTTGTACATATCTTACTCTTGCCCATTTGCTCAGCGTGCGTGGATTGCTCGCAATTACAAGGTTGCATTTTGATCTATGTTGATTTGAAACCAACTTGAATTTAGATCAGTTCTCTTATGTTGCTTGTTTGTGCAGGGTCTACAAAACAAGATAGAACTTGTACCAATTGATCTCAAAAACAGGCCTGCTTGGTATAAGGAGAAAGTTTACGCCGCAAACAAGGTGTGAACTTTTCTTTTTTTGTAGCATATGTGACAGGATTTAGCCAAACTACATGGATGGCTAGAGATCTATTGTGCTTTGTTCTCTGTTGTAATGCAGGTGCCCGCATTAGAGCACAATAACCGAGTAATTGGAGAGAGCCTTGATCTGATTAAGTACATTGACACCAATTTTGAAGGGCCTTCACTTACCCCCGATGTGAGTATCCATTGACTTCGTTGATTTGTTGAGCTCCATTTAACACACCTATTAGAAGAGAGATATCAATGGATGGAATAACTACAGGGTTTAGAGAAGCAAGCAGCAGCTGATGAGTTGCTCTCCTACACTGACTCCTTCTCCAAGGCTGTGAGATCCACATTAAACGGCACTGACAGTAATGCAGCAGGTGATTGGAAGATGAAGTTTTTATCTTCCTTCTGTGTTTCTAGAAACATTATTTTGCTATGTTATGAATCTTGTCTTCCATTTCTTCAGATGCTACATTTGATTACATCGAGCAGGCACTTTCCAAATTCAATGAAGGCCCTTTCTTCCTTGGCCAATTTACTTTGGTATTGTCATATGTCAATTATATTTTCACTCAGTTTGTTGAACCTATACCATTATCAGCTCTCGATGCTGAGACAGACAAAATTGTTATGTATATATATATCTACAGGTCGATGTTGCATATGCTCCATTCATAGAGAGATTTCAGCTTATCTTAAGGGATGTAACGAATGTGGATATCACATCTGGTCGGCCTAACCTCACCCTTTGGATTCAGGTTAAGTTATTACCTCGACGTTCATATCTATCTTTCATCCTAAGGCTAAAAGTACCCCATACACATGCACTAATCTCTTGTTCTTCGCCTTTTTATGCAGGAGATGTACAAGATCGAAGCTTTCACTGAAACCCGTCAAGATCCGAAAGAGCTAGTTGAAAGATACAAAAAACGAGTTCAAGCAGAAGCACGACTTTAAGCAGATGATTCTCCGGATTTCTCAATTTACAAGGGTTAAAAAGAGTCAAATGAGAAGAGATATTGTAATCAGGAATTTATATATATAAATTATATTGTTTTGGAATAGCATCTACATAACAGGCAACAACTGTATTCATTTATCCTAGAGTTCATGCGACCAAGTAGGTCTTCAACTAGAACAATTTTTCACCTGCTGCTTTCCCGTCATTGCCAATAAGATTGTGCTTGCTGCTTCACTAAAGTTCAGTGCGTGCCGAGGAGCAACGTGATTCAGTGATATTATACAAAACCAAACCAAGCTGAGCACGATCCCAATTCCCAAAGTTGAAAACAGAAGTAAAGCATCATATAAGAGTCTTATAGTGCTTGCTCAGCTAATTTCAATTTGTATCCAGATAGAAATTAGTCAGCTTTCTTCAAGAAGAAGAGAGGTAAAATGTCGCTGAGCAAATCTTCCATTCTATGTGTATATACTGAATGCAAAAGCCCGAAAAGAGAGTTTGGTGCTACTTCTTTAGCAGTACTCTCCATATTTTCCTCATATAAACAACTAAAGACCATATAGAGAGCCCTGCAGATACATAGAGCAACCCAATACCCGACGGTAATAGTCTCTCAAAACTGCTATCCCGGCTTGCAAGAAGTATGGTTAGCGCTATCATCTGCGTTGCAGTTTTCCACTTTCCCAAGCTATTTACAGCAACAGCCTGTGAGCACCAATGCCAGTTCCATGGTTTAAGTAATGAAAACTTACATAAAGACCCAAGAGAATGCATATGATGGTGTTAACTATACCTCTGAAAGCTTGCCATTTTGAGATGCGGCCCATTCTCTTACAGCAGACATAGTAATCTACAGTGAGAGTATTACCATATAGTTTAGAAGAGAGAGCTGATAAATGCGGATTAGTTATTGACATCTAAGCATACTGTCAACTGTCTATATCTTACCTCTCTGCCAATGATGGCGATTGAAGGTACAGTCACTAACCATGGAACTGGTCCAAAGACAACGGCGTTCATTGGTTTAGTGCACAACAATATCAATGTAGCTGCTACCATAAGCTGCATACCAATGACATGAATCAGAATGATCAAAAACTTTCCTTTTTAACAACGACAAGGCTTAAGATGAAGAAAATACAAACAGGAGAGAAAGGTAGCTAATGAAAAAGCTCTCTCACCTTATCTGCCACCGGATCCAAAAATGCACCAAATGCAGAACCTAATCTCATCTGCAAAAGCACATCTCACAGTGGTACAGAACAGCCCACAATTTAAACTATGCAGAAGAACATGAAAGGGTAAAAACTGAAGTACCTTCCGAGCAATATATCCATCAAGCCAATCTGTAATGGCTGCTGCAATAAAAATACTTGTTGTAGCAGTTCTCCCCCACCAGCAATCAACGTAAAAGGCTACATTCAAAACAAAAGGGGATAAGAGATACAATCAAAATCAGGAATGGGACTTCAAAAGATCCAATTCAGATGATTTGAACAAGTGAAGTACACATAGAAAATAAGCTCAATTTCTCGAATTCAAGCAAAACAAAATTCTGATCTGAAATCGAATTCAACAGAGCCAGAGAAAAAATTCACAATCGCCACTTAGTATAGATCTGATGAATAGAATCCTATCACACACGGAACAAGGGAAATGACTCCAAACAGAATTCAGAGTCGAGAAAACCAAAAAGGATCAACGTACTGGCGACGAGAATAGGAACGGCAGCTACACGGCCAAGGGTTAATACGGTAGGCAATGTAAGCACTTTAGAAGATAGCTGCTGTGGCCGTGGAGGCAATGGCGAAGAATGGCGATTACGGAGCAATGAATCTTCTTTGCCACCAGCGAAACTGTTCTGATCCACATTCACGGTATCTTCTTCACCCATATCCGCAACACAAGAGCTGATCTGAAGAAAAAAACGACGATCCGGTGTTTCTCCGACGAAGAGGAAGAAGGAAGAAGAAAGGGCGGTGGCGACACCGACCTGAATCCGGAACCCTAAGCCTTTATGGGACACACACAACGGCCAATAATAATAATAATGCAGCTTAGAGAGATGCTAATGTACGCAAAACAAAGCGAGCCGGGGGGCCGTAACGTGCGCCGCAAATCGTCGACATGGATCGACGAATGTTAATGAAGCAAATGGCATCGTTTTGGGCCTTCCCTTTTCTTTTCTTTTTTTTTTTTCCTGTAAATTCTAAGCTTATTTTGGTTTTATATTTTGGTGAGATGTCAATTTCCATTTTCATATTTCCAAAATGTCCAAACTTGTTGTATGTCTTTTATTTTGTTTTTTTCTCTATGATTCTTGTTATTTTTGTTAGAACGGTATGCCGAAACTATGTAATCGGATTTTTATTTGTATTTTTCCATTTAAAGTGGCCAAAAAAAATGTTAATATTTTGTATTGTATTATACAGTTTGGTATATTGCTCAAAAATGTTAATAGTAGATAGTGGTATCATAGTGGTTAAAAGAAGGAGTAGATCAAGATCAGTGACCAGTACTATTGACGAACCATAAATTGAAATGCAAATTATACTGAAACATCTTTCGAAAAACACAAAGCATGTCCATGTGTAGATTCTGACAGCAAAAATAGCAAAATTAGTTACAAAACAAGACTTTTTTATCAAATCCTATATCATAAGAGACAATCTATATTAGCTTAGTCTTTTTTAGATATGGATCGATTTACATTTATATTGTAACTTAGTTCGCAATGCCTACATAACAGTTTTGAACACAATAGCCATCAAGCTATTTCTCAAACAGTTTATATTTAAAATAAGAAATATACTAGAAATACATAATTAAGGCTTTATATATTTCTAGTATAGAAATAACTTGAAATTGGAGGTACGTAGATGTAAACATGTGAAGAGCATTTGCATTACTTAGATGATATGATATACAATCTAGTACAAGATTCTTATTATTGTTATTGCTATATAAATATATTTTATTTTGGCAGATTTAATTAGTTCCCTAGAAAAGTCCTTTACCAACTCCGAAAGCAATTGTACCTTTACCGACAAATCGACAAACCATTACAATCCCCACAACATGATTATTTCTTCTTTTCATATCTTATTCGATCTTTAAAACAAATAATATGAATCTCATTAATAGAATAAGTAGTTGTTTAAACCATGAATATGTATATTTTGAAGTAGTAGAATAGAGAATGTTTGAAGTTGGAAACCATGCAATGCATGGGAGATATAACTATTGTTTACTTACCAAGTTTATATGATGCTCCTCACATTTATTCTACTTTTATATAACAACAGGTACGTACTCCCTATTCCTTAACAACCACCGACGTTCGTATTTGTAAAACTCCAACAATGGTGGTTAATTAGCCGCATCCGTTGCATTTGAATCAACTCAGATCTTTAGATTACAAAACGTTGAGAGAGTTGAAGTTAGAGTTACGATGTATTCATGAATCATGACTTAGATATATGTCCCTCCTTAACCCTATATCTAACCACCTACGTACGTAGTCCATATTTCAAAGTAGGTGATATGAACTCCACAACTACACCTAGTCCCATATTCTCTTAATCATATTATTTCATTTTTTTCCCTTTTTACTTAGGAATGTAAAAGATGTTTTAACTGTTCAATAAATTAGTTAAAAATTATTATTAATAAAATAAAAAAAATCGTGGAAGTAGCTGTGAAATTCACAGTTTACATTAAAAAAAAAGGAAATAGTTAAAAAATCAGAGTCAAAAAAGTAAAAAATAAAAAATAACAAGACTTTTTAATAATGGGAGAAAGATAAGAGAAAGAAGACCTTTTGGAGTCCGAGTGAGAGAGAGTGTAAACGCAGTCAAAAAAGTTAAATTATAATTTTTCACATAATCAAATCACATGTAATAAACAACCTTGGTCGACAATCTCGCCCTTTCCATGTGATTCCTCCACTTCCTCCTTCTTCTTCTTCCTCTCTTCTCTCTCTCTCTCTCTCTCTCTTTCTCTCTACTGCTTCAACTTCCTCCTTCTTCTTCTATTTCAACTTCAGTCGCGTAATCATGAGATGACCGACTAGCCTCGAGATTGGATCTTCTTCGTATACTTCGTCTTCTCACCAGGTTTCTCAACTCTTCTTCACCGGCTAGATCTCTTTTCTCCTTAACGAATGAGGAGCGCCGCCGCCGTCGCTGCTGCTGCTGCTGCTTCCAAGCCTCTTAATCCTCTCGTCGCCTTCGAGCACAAGAGGTTTCGCCTTTTTTTCTCTCACTTTCGTCTCTACATTTCTGCTTCTCTTCCTGGTTTGAACTTGCGCTTCTCTCTTCTTTTGAGCTTTTGCTAGACTCGCTGCGAAATTAATGTGGTATCTCCGATTATCAGAGTTTATTCTGGCTTTTAATATGTTTGCGTGATTTAGCATTTTCTTAAACAATTAGTCAGATGATTTTTGGTGAATATTGATCTTGATTTGAATGCTGATTATTGCTCTCAGTGTGGCATAATCGTAAGCTTAGGTGGTCTTTGATAGCCAATTCGAGTTGTTTGAGAGAAAATCTAGGAGCTGTGCTTTGATTAAATTTTCTTGTGCAGTTCAATTTCTTAAAAACAAACTTAAATGGGATGCATATTTGTGTTGACGGGTGTACAAAAAAAAAATCTAGGATATTTAGAGATTTCTTCTCTGTAGATTGGATTTAACATATCATTGGTCTCTTGGGAATTCATTTGGCCATTTTTATCAACAGGGATGCGTATGGATTTCCTGTGAGACCTCAACATGTGCAGAGATACAGAGAATATGCTGATATTTACAAGGTTCTGTATCTATATCTCCTACTTTGGATTTTCATCCACATAATTTATTGCAACAGCTTTGTTTTTCCTTTCATTTGGTTATGAGACTGGGGAATCATCGTGAGAATGCTGATTCCATGTAGAATCCTAGTCATATAGAAATTCTGTGTGAAAGATATTTGAGCTGGACTAACCTAGAACTACACTAATTAATGTGCATGTCGAACTACACACCTTCCTTTCATACCAAATTTGTAATCATTTCTTTTTGGTTCTTGAAATGGTAGAAACAGATTTCTATCATTATTTCCTAAATACTGTAAGTCCCCTAAACTTGTGATGTCACTCTTTCCTTACAATCAGGAAGAAGAAGAGGAAAGGTCGGACAGGTGGAATAGTTTCTTGGAAGATCATGTTGAATCGACTGAGTTACCTGCAAACGGATCATCTGGAAATAGTCTAGACCTGTCTAGTGAAAGTGACAAGGAAAAAGAAAAGGAATTAAACAAGGGGCCTGGTGAAGATCTTCATACTGACAAGTTAGGTTCTGATGTAACTCCTGATAATGCAACTGAGGAAGAAGGACACCCCGAGGCAGAGAAGGATGTTCACAGAGTGCAATTATGGACTGAGATCAGACCATCTTTACGATCAATTGAAGACTTAATGAGCAGCCGTGTCAAGAAGAAGGGGGATATATCAAAATGCGAGCAAGAGACGCCGAAGGTGAAATCTTCACCCTCATTTGATGATGCCAAATCTTCCAAGGGAGCGTCTGAGAATGATTCTGAAGACGAGTTCTATGATGTTGAGAGGTCGGATGTTCAGGATGGTTCTTCTTCAGATGGTGCAAGTGTCTCTGGCATTCCTGTTGCTGCTAATGCAAGTCCAATGTCTACATGTCCTTGGAAGGAAGAACTTGAAGTGCTGATTCGCGGTGGTGTACCTATGGCGCTGAGGGGAGAGGTAATAAATCTTGGCGTGTTAAAATTTCTGCCTTATGTTCCTATATGATATCATGTTCTAGCTCTCATTCTATAGTTTGTTAGTCGTCGATCTTGTTCAATTATAAAAATCACATTTAATAACAACATCGATCTTGTTCAATTATAAAAATCACATTTAATAACAAAATTTCAGTTATGGCAAGCATTTGTGGGTGTGAGGAAACGACGCTGCAAAGATTATTACCAAAACCTGCTTGCTGCAGATAGTTCTGGGAACACCATAGAGAAAGAGGATACGCAGCATGTTGATGATAAAGGTTCAAGTAGAGACTCTCTTGCTGTTGTGGAAAAATGGAAAGGACAGATAGAAAAGGTAGTACTTGAAAATTCATTCAGCATTGACCCTCTATATCCAGTGGTGCAGCGCTGGCTTATGCTGAAGTTGATCGGGATTCTTATCCTGTTACTTGTTTGGAGAACAGGACTTGCCTCGGACATTTCCAGGTCATCCTGCCCTAGATGATGATGGTCGAAATGCCCTGCGGCGTTTGCTTACGGCTTATGCTAGGCATAATCCTTCTGTTGGATACTGTCAGGTATTGGCTCTTAATCAATATTATGACTCTTTTTTTCAGTACGAGAGATAGTAAATTAACATTAATATCCAGCTAATATCTTGTGTCTACATACGTTCTGCAGGCTATGAATTTCTTTGCTGCGCTTTTATTGCTTTTGATGCCAGAAGAAAATGCCTTTTGGTATGTTCACAATTTTTTCATGAATTTATAATCTCCGAGTCCTAATATTGTTTCCTGTGAAAAACGAACTCCTTGGTTCTGTGTTTAGTTTGTGTATCTATCACATTTACTTCTTCCGAATATGAAATGTTCTTAGACCATTCTCTGTATCCTTATTTTTTCCTAAACCAATGTTGTTTCATTAATACTATTTTCATTTCTAATTTTATTAACACGTAGTTCTTGTTCTTTCTCTAGTTTTTATAACTTTCACTTTCATTTTCTTCTGATTGAATTAACTGTTATTAGACATCCTTATATATTCTCTTTTTTTCTTAAACCATTGGCCCTTCTAACTAATTACTTGTGATTTTTGTAGGGCACTGACAGGAATCATTGATGACTATTTCGATGGTTATTATTCAGAAGAAATGATAGAGTCTCAGGTGATAGTATTAGTTGCCTGTCTATACATTTGCACAAATTTTAGGCCAGACTAGTGATAGCATCATGACAACATGTACCCTTGTATTTCAGGTTGATCAACTAGTTCTGGAGGAGTTGGTTCGAGAAAGATTTCCTAAATTGGGTAAGTTCCTTCACAGATTTTGTTGCTTCATCTTACAGAATGTTCAAAGGTAGTACTAAGCTCTGTGATTTTTGTATGTCTACAGTTCATCAT